TCCATACTATCTATAGATGGAGTGGAAAATGACCTGTCCACGAGAGAAGATGGCCCACCCAGGAAGAAGAAAGAAGCTTGTCCAGAGAAAAAACACAAAGGAGGGTTCTAGAGAGGACTCAGGGTCATTCCATTACAGATAACCACCCTTAAAGCACAGTTAGCCTTTGACTCTGTAATAAACATATAATTTATAACAAATGTTTACAATTTCCCTTGGTTTTTCCTCTTTTATTTAAATATTTATTTTATTTATGGAAGAACTGGGGTGTATGGGCCAGTGGTATGGGGGAAAGGGTAAAAGGATTCACCAAAGACAAAGTGGTGAGCAGAACAAGCAGACTGACTAAACGCACTGCTGATAGGAGCAATAGCAGGTCAGGAGAGGTCTGTGTTACCATACATGGTTTAGCTCCCTGGTGGGGGATCAAACTCATATCACTTAGCCATAGGAGGGCATTTGCTGTGGTAGCTCTGAGATTAAGCTCTAGGCCACCAGGGAGGTCTTGGCAAACTATTGTGGCAGTAGTTCTAGTATAAACAGACTTTACATATGTATGGTATTGGTAATGACTGACTATAATACCTATCAAATGAATCTTATTATTGGTTTATTTGACATAAGGGCTGGGTGAACTAAATGCGGAGGGCTAGGATTTGTAACACAGATCCTAGAACCAAGGGTGCTTTCCAAATTAAAATCTCCACAACACCTAGATCAAAGTCACCAGAAATATTCTTTGAAATTGACATTGTTAGAGAGAAAATTGATATTTCCAAATTCTATACTTCATAAGGAATTACTACCCAAGTATATAAAGAAGTTATAGAATTCATAGCAAACAATCCTACTAAAAATGGGCAAAGAACTTCCTATTTTTCCCAAAGAGCTGTACAGATGGTCACAAGGCTCATGAAAAGGTGTTCAACATTAGTAATCATCAGGGAAATGCAAATCAAAACTTAATGAGATAAGTCCTCAAGCCTGCATAATAACCAGCATCAACAAGACAAAAATTAAGGAATGTAAATGAGGATGTGGAGAAAAGGGAACTCCATGCGCTCTTAGTGGGAATGTGAACTGGCATAGCCACTACGGAAAACTGTAGGAGAGATCTCAAAATATGAAAAATGGAATGATATTTGATCAAGCAATTCCATTTTGGAGTATAAGTAAACAAAATCATTTGATCAGACACACAGTTGCACTTACATTTCATAATTTACAATAGCCAAGAGCATCCAAAGTACCTACTGATGGATGAATGGATTAAGAAAATGGAGTACAACATACGTGGCATATTACTCAGTTGTAAAACATAAAACATTCTGCCATTTTCAATAACATGGATGGACGTTGAATATATTATGCTAAGTAAAATAACTCAGAGAAAGATAAAGATTATAGGGTCTCATTCATAGATGTTATCTAAAAAATGTAATACAAAGAGAGAAGTTATTGATAGTTGTAAGAGATCAATGGTGGGGGGCGAGTTGCAGCAAATAATGAATGTGATAAAAGACTTCCATCTCCTGGTTGTATGATAAATCAGTTCAGGGTATATACTGTTCAGCTTGGTGAGTATAGTTAACAGTATTTATTGTATTTCTAAAAATTGCTGAGATTATAGATCTTAAGTTATTGTGGTTAAAAACTTTACAACTGTGAGGTGGCGGATGTAAATGAAACTTAGTGTGAAAATAATTTTGCTAAGTCATGTGTACATGTTAGGCTAACTCAATGTTATCTCTTAATTACAGCTCAATAAAAATGGGAAAATAAATAAATTGGACTTTCCTGGTTACTATGGCTAGTCTAGCATTTCTGAGGTTGGGACCAAGAATCTAAATTATTATTTGTCTTAAATATGATACATAGGCAGTTGCTGAAATTTCTGAATTAGTCTAAAGGGTCATCAGCCTAATAAACTGACCTTGGTAGTAATACCACCTGTAAGAAGGACTTCATTCATTCCATGTTAAATGCCATCCTCCAGTTCTGGCTTGCAAGATGTTAGCAAGACTTTACAGTCTCATATTAGAAGTAGGAAACCTAATTTATATGAAAAGACCTTCAAGATATTGTTATACTAATTTCTTAGGTCCCTTCTTCCAGCTGTTATTGAACCCAATGTCTGAATTCAATTTCCTTTACAATAAAGCAAGTCTCTCTCAGGATCTAATAATGCTAGGCTACAATTTAAACCTACTTCCTTCTATTATGACCTGAGGATGAGTGCAAAAAGATTTCATGCCTTTAACCTTGGTTAAATTCTCCAAATCAGAGTAACAAATTTAGCTTCATGCATCTTGAGAGATCAGAGTAAGCATTAATCCATAGTGATTATGTCAAAATAATTAGATGTTTGAAAGTTAATTTTATTTGTCTTTCCTTCATTTTCTTTACTGAAAATCAGTAAAAAAAAAAAAAAAAAAAAAAAACCTCAAATTTGTATGGCTAAGTTAAAAAAAAAAAATCATACAGTTTCTCCATGGACTAAACCATTATGTACATCATATAGAGGCATTTATCCTATTACTACAGTTGAATTCGACGTTTAAGCTTCTCCTTCATGGCTGTTAAGGCACAGTAGAGTCAACTCATGCCCAGGGAGCTTTAATCACAGATCATCATCCTGATAAACTGTAAAGAGTCAGTGTGGGTTATCAAGTCAACAGCCACTGGGGGAGTTTTTTAATGGGAGCATTGCCAGCATGCATTCATAACTACATTCAAGGAGCACTTCTGGTCTAATGGCTAAATGAAGATTATTACAGTATCTGTACATGTAGCATTTTCTCAAAAAATTCCGTATTTAAAGGAAGCCAATTATTGAAGCCAATACATACAGCTGAATTGCTCAAGTGATAAGAAATATTTTCAATGGTTTAAATTAATACTTGTGAAAAACAAGTTAATAGTGTGAGGTTGTATTATGAAATTTTAAGTTTTGGTGAGATATTGTGGCAGTTATAATCACCAATGAAGTTTTAAAGTGGGATCATGAGGAAATGATCATATAGCAAAGAATAAAAAGAATCATGATAACAATCCAGAGCAGGCTGGAGAAGTGAAAGATTTCTAGTTGGTAAAATTGACATTTAAAAGATTTTTTTTATGTTGCCCCAGGTGGCATTCATCATATGCCTTGTTTTCGTTTTCAAAACTCAATTTGCAGCCTCTAGCCCCAAATCAGAAACTATAGAAACTGTTTTTAAAGAACACTGCATAATTTAAAAAGAGCCATTATGACCAAGATGAAAAACAGCAAAGAAATAAAAAGCAAACCATTTGAAAAATAAGACAATTCATAATTCAGTTTGAGTTTCCAAAAAGTAAAAATGCTTTCCTGAAATGCTTGTAACGAAACAGCAGAAAATATAACTTAATAACGAACAAACAAAAGGAAAAAACCCTTAAGTCCAAACACACACACACACACACACACACACATATGTATGTGTATGTATGTATGTATGTATAAACCCACAAATAAAATCTCTTTTGTGATCTATAGATTTTTTGGAAAATGCTTAGTATGCAACTGAGTAAAACAATATGCTTGAGGGTGTAGATGGGAGGCTACAGATAGGTTTCTATCAGTCAACCTATCAGCAATTAAAAATTATCAAAATTTGGCCCTCCCTGGTGGCACAACAGGTTAAAACGCAACACTGTGAAGCTACCACAGCCACTGCAGCATAGTTCAATCCCCGGACAAGGTGGTGATTCACATGGCATGGCAGACCTCTCCTGTCCCACCTGCTGCTCCCCTCAGCAGTGTACTTTGTCAATCTGCCTATTCTGCTCCCCACTCTGTCTCTGGTGCATCCTCTCACCCTCCCGCACCTCTGGCCAGTTCTGTATGCATAAATAAGTAAATCTTAAGAAAATATAAAAATTTGAAAATTGTAAGACTCAGAAAGTCTATATAGATGTGTAGACAACGTTAGGCCCCACTGTTCCACATTCTTTCACGTGAAGCTTCTTCATCGAGCTGTTATACCTCCAGCCACTTGAGGTAGGTACTCCTTTCAGAGGTCCTTACCAACTGTGATAGGGCAGAATAGTAGAGCTGGTAGAGGCACAGGGATCATCTAGTTGAAAAGCTCATTTGTGGATGATACAACAGAAATTAAGAGAAGAGATAGGGATGTATTTTAATGTTGCCATTAAATGAATCAGAAAAAACTACAGTGGAATTTCAATTGTTCAAGCACCCAGCAACCTGCCCTTTGATGTGACTACAAGATGTTAGTTGTATATTTTGATCTTATGCTAATGTAAACTTTGCCTAAAATAAATAGGCTATCAATATTAATATTAATCATGAATTTGTTTCATTATTGGTCTCTGCTCCTGGGGAATACCAGAAATATCCAGCTTTATACTTTTCTACTTACAAAAGCCACAATATCCAAAACACACAGGTACAAAGACTTTTCCTTTGCTTTCATCAAACATTTACACAAAACCTTTAGGGATTATGAAATTTTAACGTATGATTAAGTTTATCATTGCTCAAAACTGGCAACTTTCTAGGAATACAGTACTATCTTAATATTAGCTCTAGTATTACTGAGGCTAAATGTAAATTCATGTATATATATTCAATAGTTAGAATGTTTTCAGTATATACAACACAAAAAAAATCTATTCCTTATAGTCTTTCTTTTTCAATGAGGGTTCTCACCATAAATGAGAGTAATGGGTGCCAATTTGATGAAAATGAACAATTCAGTATTTTCTATTAACATAAAACTAGATACGATAAAGAAACCTCATAAAGTAACACTAAGTATGTGCACAATATTTAGTTCCTTTTACAAAGCACCTCTACAACATTAATTGTACAGATATTTTTAAGTTGGATGTTTCGTATATATTTTAATATCAGATTCTGGGTCATATTTAAAAGAAAAAACACTGGCGAATCTTTAAGATGAAAACAAGGGAGAGAAAGTCCTGAAATTGCTGTCAAGTATAAACACACTCATTACCTCATATTCCTGGGAAAACTTCAAGTTGTCATTTGCTTTCAACCTTTCAATGTGATCTGCAAGTTCCAAGATAGGTATTGGAGGATGGCTAGCCATACCTATTAAAAGGAAAGAAGAAACACACTTGAACACAGATGAAAATGATGCCAATGATTCCAAAATACAGAGAATACTATAGTTAGACATGGCCTGAAAACATGTGAGTAGTCAAGATGTTTAATGGGAAAAAGCAGGCAGATAGTTTGGTTACTCAAAGCAGGACATGCTCTGGAAGGATGAATTGTGTAGCCAAATGAAAAGTCACCAAGCATAATCCCCAAGCTAACACTCCTAGTGTAAAAGAAAGCGTTATTGTGTTATGAATTAATGTGGTTAGCTAGCGGAGAAAACATGACGGTCGGGCTTGATGTCAACTTCTGCTTTGAGTAATGACTGTTAGGTCATTTCAAACTCCTTCTCCTGCACTGTGTGAAATGGAAATTGTGTGGAATTAAATGGTGTAAAGTGAACTAAGAAAAAGACACTGAGAAAGGCCTAAAAGAGAAAGAAGAGTAGCCTGATAGGAACATAAAGTGACATATGCATAATACAAGGAAAACTAACTTGAAGAATGAAGGTTACCAGGGTAACCGGAATCATCTGAACCTGCAAAGGAAATGATGATGTAAATAAAATAAAATAGAACGAGTTTGTTAAAAAAAATGAAATGGATCGTCTGATACACATCTTAAAAGAGTTAAAAAAATCTGCAAGTTTTTATAGGGTTCACTATACATTGTAACTAGATTTAGATCGCTTTAATAATTCACAAACCTGTCGGTGACTGACATCCACATGCAAGCATGGACACAAAGAATGACATGCACCACAGCTCACAGAAGATAATCACTGACGACAAATTCAGACACCAAACTGGTTTTCAAAAATGTTTCCACTAGTAGCAGATTGTAGAGGTTGGGGTTGCAGCCTGCTCCCAAGTATCTATAGATGGCCACACTTAACAGATCTGTGGAGTTTCCCCCAGGTCCCCATTACTCAACCCCCAGCAAGCTTACAATCTACTTCAGGTGTAAACATCTTTGTCCACTAATGAGAAATGAATGCAGGAAAGTGAGCAAATGGTCAAAAGACAAGGAGCGAGAGAGGGTAGGGGCAAGAAGCAGTGACAGGAAGGTGGCACATCTTAGTTCAGTCTGCCAGCTGAAGATATGTCAGGCTTATCGCTTAAAATAATCCACTATTAGGTAAGGTGATTTCTGGGTCTTTCAATGTTTTCCCACTTTTTCGTATGAAGTGCATTTTATTTCTTTCCAATTAATTTTTCAAGAGTATGCTGAGAGAGCGTTTACAAGTACAAATTCCAGCTGGCTAGAAAATCTTGAACCAGCGTGCCTCCAGGAAAGCCTCCGAGGAAGAAAAAGAATGAGTGGAGTGGGGGGCTCAAACTGGAAGCCATGTTGACATTCTGCCATCTCCAGAACTCTCTGGAAGGTGTTAGGCTGCAGACTGGTGACCATTTAGTCAGCATGATATGATTACTATATGGGCATTTTAGAAATCATGCCAATTTTGGAAATCACCCAGTGAGTTCCTTTATCTCAAATGTCAAAATATTAATGTTCTGGTAAGGTAAATAAAAAGTTCTTTTGCTTCTTCCAGATTCTCATTTTAGTACTTTAGCACTGAATTGTAAAGTATGGAGTTTTAGCATTCAAGGCTATGAAGGTCTTCTTTCAGTCAGCTAAAATCGTAATGGAAATTCCAAAAGAAATAAAGTATGCTTGGACGTATTAAGTCTCTGTTGCAGATAATATTATGTATCTGGACAAAAATGTTGGAGCCCATTTTTGTAACTTTTCCAAGTAGATGGTGGAATTGAACTAATTTACTCTCTATGGAAAGAGTAGGTGGGTGACAGCAGTCTGATAAAAGTGATCTTATCCAGATGAGATACCCCCAATGACAAGACAGAAATGCAATGGCACAAGAGACTGTCCCATTTCCATGTGGGAATGGGACTGGAATGATGTCAACATTCATTACAGTGCTTTAACAGAGAAAATAATAGAGACAAAGATGTTTAGACCTTTTCGAGCGAATCGTGGGAGGGAGTTATTATCATATATGGACTGAGTGGTGGTTTGGCTAGAGAGGGAGGACACAGAGCCAATCAGGGAGGCGTAGGGGACTGAATTACTGCTCAAAGCTGCAAAAAGTAAAGCCAGTTGGAGATGGGAAAAGTATTAGTATAACAGCAGTAGAAGACCATATTAATCAACCAAAGATGTGATCAACATATTTACTTGAGTCATGCACTCACAAATGTCTGAAAGCATTACTTTGGAATCATCTAAGCAAACCTACTCTGATTCATTCATTCTAAATCAAGCTACAGAATATACATATATTACACCAAAGCATGCTAAAGCATTCAAAAATCATAATTTAGATTTGTCTCTATGTACCATATTGTCCCAAAGTTCTAGAACAAAGTAATAATGTCAGGAGGGGTGTTTTATAGAACAGCAAGCAGAACTTGTAGGAATACCATGGACCAGTAGAAGGAATCCCAGACTAGAATAATGAACATGAGTTCTACTTCAGCTCCTATCACCAATGAATAGGGACAAATACTTTCACCAAGCAACTCAATTTCTGCATCTGTATAATAAAAGTGCAGAGCTAAATGAATTCTCAAGTCACTTTCTCCTTCATTAATCTCAATTCTACATGTGTAGATATGATTTCTGAACATATGGAACAAAAATGTGTGTGGGACTCGGATACAGTTCATCTAGAAGGGTTCCTAAAATTATTGCACCTTATCTTTGAATAAGGTGAAGACATCTAGTCTTTATACACTAAAAAAAAAAAAAAAAAAAAAAATAAGCAGAGCACACGTCTGAACTCCAGTCACTGCTCGACATCTCGTATGCCGTCTTCTGCTTAAAAAAAAAAAAAAAAGCTATAAGCAGTTGTCTTCTTTTAAAACTATTTCACTAACTTTTTTTGCCTAAACAAATTTTTTTTTATGTTATATAATGTATCTGAAAATACTAAAAGCCAACAAAAACTAAAGAATAAACCAGGCTGAAACTTCTTTCACATGAAACTCTAATTCATAAGAAAACAATCAAGGATTTACAAGTATTATATAACACTCCCCCCACCCCCCACTTCTTTACTGTCTAACATTGGAAAAATTGTATATGGGACAATCAAGCATGTTAGATTTGAATGATAAAGCAAAGACAAACCTAATCACCATTCACACTGAGCAAATTAAAGTATTTTTAGGCCAGTGTTTTTACATTAGCATTATTTCAGATCTGAAATTTCTTCTTTCCAGACTACACACTAAGCAAATTAAGTGAGAATCCCTAGGTATAGTAGCCAGACATTGGTATTTTTTTAGGTTCCCTCATAACAACTCTCAATCCCATGAGAATCCTTGATGGGAGGCCTCTAATGCTTTATTTGTTTATTTTTTCATTCAAAATTCATACCAGAGTTTATGAGAATGAGATCAGTTTTCTCTCAGTGTTACCCTTGAATCAGTTCTGATTTTCCATTAGCAAGCTGTACTACGCTAGTTATTATTAGCAGCAAAGAACTTGAAGTGCAGCTCACAACTGATGAGGACTTGCCAGAGTCATGACCTCATCAGTTCAAAGCTATAAATGCACAACATAAATGCATTTTAAAGGTACACATTGAATCAGAGTGGAGATTTCATTTCGAAGATAAGATAGCAACAATATAAACTGTGAAAATAAAACTGGTAAGTCACTGATACCTACCTAGGTTAGGGGAAACCCATGATGGTTTACCAGGTACACATGTGTGATAGTAATGTGATGGTGGCTTCCTCATAAGGCTTAAAATCATGGCATTTGAAGCTGAAAGGTGCCTTAGAGAATACTTAGGGCACTCAAGAATTATGAAAGCTAAATGACTTGTGGATGTGAATGAAGCTGCTAAACAATGCAATCTTAACAAGTAGTCTTGAGATCACTCTATCATTTCTAGAAAGGCAGTCATGATCTTCTACAGAGGGGAATAAAGTTTCAAAAGGTGAAAGGAAGCAAGTTGGAAAGGTAAACGGCTGAAGACTTATAGATGCTTTCACAAAGAAAGACGCTCATCCCCGTTGCGATGACATAGCATCCTCTAGGACTATCATTTCCCTACTTTTAGTATAGGCTGGGAAAAGAGAAAGAAAATTGTCCCTGCTAATTGAGAAATAGCAATAAACATGCAATGAAGGGAAACTAACCTGTCTCAATGTCAGGGTTATTGTTAGGGCTAGTATAAACAGTAGGCAACTTCTAAAAGGGTAGGTCTACTCAGCTCTAGAAGATATCTTCTAAGTGGTACCACAGGACCAAGAGGGCGAGACTGCGGATTTGTAACTGCAACTGAAATCCCCTACTATTATGTGCTGTTGGCTCAGTTTTCACTGATGAGTCTAATTCTGCTGAAATCCAGTGGGTAACAAAGAGAAAATCTTTGCAGAGCACCTTTGATTAACTAGACTGTGTCTTGTGATTTGAAACAGGTTTATTTTGTGTGTCTGAATTTAAAAACAAAAACAAAGGGAGAGACTGATAGACATCATGCTTGCATCCCCAAGGCATGTGAAGTCTTGTGTAGGGGTTATGACCATACATACTTGTGTAGGGGTTATGACACATACTCCGATGGTTCACCCTTTGCGGGTTCATCTGTTTTTCACTTACTCCTGTACTCATTTACTCTCTACAGGTAAAAGAACTGCAGCAAGGTCAAAGGACTTAATCAAGGTCACCATTTAGCAGCAAAACTACAATTACATGGAGGAATTTGAATTAGGCTTTGCCACTTTTCATTTAGAACTTATTGGTTATGCCATGCTGTTACTTAAATCATTTAATACCACGGGAAGGGTGGAGCCATAAGGATGGGTATATCAGACTGTTTAGGCTACTCATGCAGCAACACAGAGATCATCAATGATCATCAGTGTAAGAAAATGCAATGAGTTAATAGTGCATAACCTCACTGTTTGGGTGATGGGAAAGAGAAAAAGAAGTTTCATATATACAACTTTATCTTTTAC